ATCCCTGGGCCTCAAGATATGGTTGCAGTCTTTGGAGGACCACGTGTTCATTTATTTGCCGAGGCAAGACGTCAACGAGATTGGTCGCAGGTTCCCAAACTCCAGGGGTTTGCCGGACTTAGGAATTAGTGTTATTTCGGCATGTCTCCATTCCTGGTGTAACTTTCCGGAATGCCAGTGAGTGTTGTAAAAATCTGTGAGCTGTTATAGATCTTCGTCATTAAGGTTTCGTATGATAGAGTATTGGATGTTGTCTTTCTCTGGTGCTGTGTTGTGCTTGATATTCAGAAGAGCAGCTGGAACTGTGGGTGTCTCCGCCATGCGTTGGCAACACAGAGTCGCTGCCCCTGCCAACACTAACATGGCGGCTTAAGTGTTGTTATGCGGGCGTTTGACAGCATAGGTAGCGTATAAAACCTTCAATTTTCAACAAATCGCCTTACTGTTGAAAATAAAAACACTTACCAGCGCAGAAAAATACCCACAGGGCACTGCAGCGTGGCAACTTGTTTTTCTTCTGTTGATAAATTATGGACACTGCATGCGAGAATACTCCTTTCCTGCCGGAAAAGTAGATACAGGATCTACTTTTCCGAAGAAGATCTTTGTCACAAAAGAGCCTTCTTTACTGGGTGTCACTAAGCTCGAACACCTTCCCGCAAGATGTCCCCTTGTCTAAAGCACTTAAACGCGCCCGCGTGTCAGGAGAATTAACTTCAATCAACTACCTTGGGCTCACTTCAACTGCCTTTGGTTATTACTTTCCATAGCAGAAGCTTACGGAAACATTTTGACGATATTAATTTATCGCTGCGTGACTAATAATTACCTCAAATTCCCCCTACGTAATATACACAAAGCTGTCTGGGGGCGAAACATTGTATTCCTTTCCACAATACGTGTCAGGATGCTGTCACCACGCTGATAGCCCTACTACGGTGTGACTGTGTTCTCAACAAAATTTAATATCGGAAAAAGCATGAAGATCTCAGCGTTATTATTCGGAAATGTCCATCCGTGTGGCTCAAAGTAGAATTTTTTTTCTAACATTGCAGAAAAAAACTATCTTTGGCCCGGTTTGCCACTTACTGTCATCGCCGATTAAATATTCTTGTGTGGGAATATGAAAAACATACACTGGCCGAGGTTAAACAGTTTCGTGTGCCTTATCGAAAGCCGTACTGCGCATGCTCGAGGAGCAGTGACGTCACATGGCGTGCCGGTGTTGCGCCAGAGAAAGCCTGGAAGCTCCTGCAGTGATATCTTAGTGGGCTGGTGAGAGACTCACGTGAGATCGCTCGCTATACTGCGTTCGGCAATGTATCCACCTGTCCATCCGTCCGTTCGTTCGTCTGTCTGTCTGTCTGTCTGTCTGTCTGTCTGTCTGTCTGTCTGTCTGTCTGTCTGTCTGTCTGTCTGTCTGTCTGTCTGTCTGTCTGTCTGTCTGTCTGTTCATTTGTCCGCCCGTGCATCCATCCGCTGCTCACGCTATGTTTATCCTGGCATAGCCAAGCTAAGCCACGGCTAAGGCTTTTTCCTCATCATTACAGTGCAGTCACAAGCTTGCGCGAGAGGCGTTTATTTTTTATCAAGAAATAGGATGCACTAGATTTCGCGTGGGTATCTACGCATGCCTTAGACTCAATAATAACAACGGTAATCTATCAACGTAATATTGAACAAATCCTGGCTGGTCAACGGCTTAATTTTGTTTCAAATTTTTATGTACTGTTATCTGATGAGAGGAAAAAAGAGAACCGCAATTGGCTTTGCTAGAAATTTTTTTGAAGTACAGAAAAGCATTAATGACGAGAAGGTGGAGTGCCGTGCTTACCCGCTCTGCTATTTTTTTCAAAATTTGGCGAATATTTACACGAAATATATCTACGTACTTAAAACTTGTTCAGATAAATATATGTTAATTTTCACATATTTCCAGTTTTTCTTAATTTTTCTCAGTAGTGCTGATAATTTTATTAAAAAATCTCAAAGTGAGCCTAGAAAACAATTTTCGGCCTATTTTGCAAGTTTTTATTTCAAAAAGAGCTTACGACAGAGTGGTGAAAATTATGCATTACTTTCTCAGTATGCTGATCTTGAATCTTTTTAATAAAGAGATACAGTCACGCTAACTTCATAAGCAGGATGCAAGGTAAACTTCTGACAACGGTTAAAAAAGCATTCTTGATATTTCTTAAACTTTCCTGACTTATTCATTTGGACATCAGCTTACAGAATCAATAAAAACATCTTGCATATTATCGTTTTACTTGCAGTTACAGCCCGTCCAAAAATGCCCCAGTGCAAGGATAGACAATCGCAGTTCGGACTTTCTGCCTGCTAAGTATGGGATGCAAGCCTATACTTTAGTTTCTCAAAAGGCAAGCAGCACTGAAATAGCTATTGGGTGCACCGAGAACGCCTTTTCGAAGTGATTTTGTCATGGGAGTGGCCATGAATGTGGGATTACAGAGTAAGCAAGAGCGCACAGTCTGGCGTGTTCCGGTGTGAGAAGGGCTCATCGAATAAGACCCTTGTGCAAGACTGAGCACAACATGTGAGTCAGAAGATTGTATGAATTTGTGATGACATATGACTTTTCGATTTCACATGATATTGTATAGAATATGTCTTGTCACTACAAATTAGCAGGGTACACAGTGAATGATTAGAAATCAGTGTTCTACGAGTAGGGTTCCTTGATGCACTGTGGCAGTGACATGTGATGTATAGGTCCGTATCTCTGCGAAAACTTTCTTTCATTGAAAGGAACTTTTTGTGTTTCGAATGGTAGACTGTAGAATAATTTTCCTAGGAGCTATACTTTGCCACCATGAAACGCACAGGAGCAGAACAAAGTGCAAGCACTACTAGAGTCAAATGAAGTTGAGCAGCGGACTATGCGTGTGGCCAGTGAACGTTGGCTGCTGCTGTCATCTGAGATGGGCAGGCGCATCCGGTTATCTATAGTTTGGCATTTGCTCTCTTTTGATATGCCTCCTCTTACTGAGATGAATTCGCGCAGAGCAGTTTCTCTGGCGAAAGCACATGTCACCCGCCTGCGGGAAACGAGCATTCGCGCTTCCTGACTAGAGTTTTCATGGCGCTTCCCGGTAAAGGAACGCAGTCATACTGCAACTTCCACTTTGACTTCTTCAAGTGTTCCTTGTGCGGGCGCCGAATGCTGTCGGGGAACTTGAGCTACAGAGAGCAAATCTTTGACCTTGGCTGATCGCCTCTGTTTACGCGACAAGCACGTTCGTTGGAATCCTGTTATGCCAAAATTACAACAGTCACCTTGGGATGCTTTTTGTTTAAACATAAGAGTACGTATTGTAGACGTGTTTTTGTTTGCACTTTATTTGAACACACAAAAAAGTTACAGCTTTGTCGCAAAGGCGAAGCAATAAATGCGGTAGCAACAAATTGGTAGGTCACGTGCAGAATAGCAAGCAGATCGAAACATGCCCCATGTTTCTCACGCACAAATGACGCACAAAACGTACTCACAGGTACCGATGAACGCGAATAAGCATCTCAGTTGTTACTTCGCTGTGTCTGAAAAGCGCGCGCTTTTCGAAAGAATCACAGTGGGTTCTTTACAGTTTATGTAGTACGAAATTGTACGCCTATTACACTCCAAAGCCCCTGGAAACTAAGGCAGCAGATAAACGCGTTATGAAGCAGGCTGAATTTTTGTATTATTATTTCTTTCTTGCTTCCTGGTAGTTTCCCCCAAAGAAGGGCGCGCATATGCGTGCGTGTATGTGCGTGTGTGGTGCCATGTGCTTGTCTCAGGCTTCATGACTTGCAAACACCCTGAAATATGTTTAACCTAGAGACTACGGAAAAATAGCGTCGGGTTCAAGAATATCAGCTGCATCTATTCTTGCATGTCGCAGAGAAGCGCAGCTACTCTGCAGGTACGAAAAGTTTTCCTCCGGGCGTACAATACCAAGCACGGCACATAATACACGGAGCGCCAAGGCATGAGGCCCCGATTTTCGCGTTGGCTAAAGTAACAATCATTGCCCAATATTCATTGACCGCCATTGATATTGAAGCACCGGTCCACTCTGGTGGCACGTATTCTGATACACTCAAAAAGCGGCATGCAACAACCGGAAGGGTTTGGCGATAAGCGCACTGATGTCTGAACGCACGCCCCAGAGCAGTACGAACGCAAGTCGGCCCCGTGATTAGGCATTTCTTTCACTAATTTTTTGTCTACCTCGGGCCTGCTTGAGCCGCAGGTAATGCTTTTAATTGGCGTCGTCCAATGATTTGGCCCAACAGTCAACCTGCTGTAATTAAGGTGTGCACGCATAAGATAGATCGTTGTGTCCGAATATCTCAAAATCTCAGTCTAATTAAGCCGAGAACAGAGCTAAGGTGTCGCGTGGAAAGTGAAGTGACACAGAAAAAATACACGATGCGCTTGGGGCTATCTTCGTTGTGCGTTTACCATTGTTGGCGTATTTAGCCCCGATTCGCGCTGATAGTGAACGTGCAAGTAGCAAACACATTCACGTTAGTCGACTCTGCCATTAACAAACCAGAAAAATCCCCGCTGAAATGCACATCCTGCCATGAAACCATTCGCAACGCCTAGTTTAGAAAAACACATACTTCGTCTCCGTAATTTCAGTAGGTATAAAGATGAAAAAAAAAATTAAGGCAGCTTCGCTTTAAAGTAATCGCAAACCTAAAGAAAGTGCGGGGCTGGGCCGCCTTCTTTGTTTCGCTACGGCTTTCTCTTTCATAATGAAATGATTGGAAACGCAAACCAACGGGACACAAGAGAAAAGACGAACTTTCTCTTTCTTTCTTTATTTCTTTCCTGTTCTGATTTTCAGTTATTACAGTGTATTTTTGTTTATTTTTATTTAATTTCTATTTGTCTTGCTCTCCGCTCTCGTCGTTCTCTCTCTATTTCTCACTTGTTTCCTCTTGCAATTTTCATGAGTTGTTTGTTCTGTGTTTCCTTAGTCATAGTAGTAATGTCCGCGGTTGATATCAACAAGGCGCTCGAAGAGCAAGAGGAAGAAAACTTCTATATCGTGCGAGCAGTATACTGTATACAGCTAGCTATGCTACAGGTGATTTTGCCTCCGTTGCGCCAAGTGACAACAACAGCTGACGACAGTCTGAGCCCCTCAAGTTCTCCACACTTAATCTTCAACCAGTTTCACACTGTGGACACCGTCTGGCAGCGAAGCTGTCACACTTTTTATGAGGCGTGTCTTTGTATATGGCTCAGTTTTGTCTAAACTTTTGTTGATTTCTTTTTTTTTACCTTTTTTTGGCGTTCATTTGTTTTTCGCGTAGAACCGTGCCTGTCCCATGCCACCCCATGCTTATTCGTATCCGCACTAGAACGATATGGTAGCGTTTCAGTGCAGCCATGGCCCCGTCGACACACCTACACACCCAAAGCACGCAATACAATCACGGCTGTGCTCAATAGCGAGGAGAGCTAGTTTCAAGCGCTGCCATTGAGCAAATCTTCAGCAGTTCTACTTCGACACTTCAACGTTTTTTAGACTAACCATTTGAAATAGATTGACAAAGTTCAGAATGATCCATTTTTTTTTCATGCAGAACAAACGCGAAAACACAACGATGAAGAAAGCCACAAGCGCCTTTGAAGCCGCAACCACAAAGATCAGGCAAATGCATGTACTAACCATCATTTCTGTGGTGGCTGAATGATCGCTGCACAGGAGTTTCCTCTAGGTAATTGTGTGAAAATATGTTTTTAGCCACACCTCATCTCAGCAGATGATCACGAGACCCCTTTCCCTTTGCCTCCCAGAAAGTTCTTTCTTTTTCGTTGGTCCCGCAACCTGTTTCAGCAGATGCAGTCGACTGGCGAGCACCAATGTCCCCACGCACAGAGCCCATAGAAAATGCTTTGCTATAAAACTCACTTTCCAGAGCAAACAGCAAGTCGCATTTCACTATTGAAATCTCACTTTAATTCCCGCGACACGACAAAATTTGAAGGGTTTCAGCACTTTAAAAAAATCACCGCCCAAGCACTCTATACATATGGTTAACAAATGAAAGCTTAAACATGCCGCCCCGGTGTTTACAATGGGTTTAAACCGACGTGACCCTGAAGTGATTTACAATTGCTATATGTTCGGGCTTTTTAATGAGATTAGACACACCTTTCTCTCGGGTATAAAACAGGGTTTATTTCACATGCCGCTCATTGTGTCTCTCATGATCACGTTCATGGAGAAATGTATTGAGCAGTTAAATGCATTTCGCGATGCGCTAACCACGGTGGTTTTTCTTGAACCACAGGCGGTCACAGACGCTGCAGCCGGAGCCAATGTGCCGCTGGAGAAACTCCCGCTGAGAGCGGCGAACCAACTCCCGGAATCATCACATTGACGCCGCAACGCCGCGTTGTTACAAGCGTCTAACATCGCAGCCAACTTGGCGGCTGCATTTCTGATGGAGGAGGAAATGTTGTTGGCCCGCGTGCTCAGATTTGGGCGCACGTTAGAGAACCCCAGGTGGTTGAAATTTCCGGAGTCCTCCACTACGGCGTCTCTTATATACATATGGTGGTTTTAGTTTGTTAAACCCCACATATCAATCAATCAATCAACCAACCAATCAACTTGGCGGGGAAGTCTCAGGAGAAACTGTTGCGCACGGACTCCATGACGTGGCTGCGGCGACGTCACTCACAACGCAGCAAATGGTGTGCGCGTGCTTGGGAACGACGTAACTGATGGAGACCACTCATGACACCGCTGCCCAATGGATTTTCGTTTCTCCTAGCGACATGCACCTTTCGCTTTAAAACATTTACCCTTGGAATTTTTTGGTCATTTCTGTCTGGCAAATGGCGCTTTCAATTTTACAAACAATTTCGCCTTGGATGCATCATTATAGTATGTTTAGATGACGCCTTATGCCTACCCAGTGCTTGTGTCTACCCAGTGCTCGCCACGCTTCAGGCGTCTGAGGTCTGCAATTTCACGCATGATCACACTGCTGTTGAACACGTGCAGATTATTTTTCAGATGTCGAACCTACTGGAATAAATCTTGTGACGTTGTAGTCCGAATGTTCTCAACTACCGTAAAGAATTCCTTAGTTTGTTTAGAATAGCTTTCGAAATATTCGCGCAATGAGTCTTAGGTTACGTTGTTTTGATGGGCATTTGTAGATGAAGCTGCATAAAGATGCATTGGCTTAAATTTATATCGTTATGATGTATCATCTTCGGAACATTATTATCGCCTCTAGCATCTATGCACTTGCAACATAAGGTCATGCTGTGGCTTTTGACAAAACCTTTGGGTGTGGAAGATTGAAGCGTAATCTGAAAGCAACCATTCAGCTGTACAGCCGTCTTTTGTTTACGTTTTTTTTGCGGCGTTCACATTGTAGGTCACAATATTACTCATGTCTAAAGAAGAATGCTGAATTCGCGGGTCACTATACGCCTTATGCTGCGCGTCCCATTCACTGATATGTCTGATAGGAAGTGTACCCTTGGCTTTGAAGTTTGTAGCAAAGTACTTTTTCCATAGAGCAGTGCGTGTATGAAGACGATGTAGCCGTGTGTCCTGACTCTCTAGATAACTATCAGAAGGAAAACTTCAGCCGCACTGGGCTGAAGGAAACTCGATAAGGCGTACCCGGCCGTTTCTGCTTTTCTTCCATTTTAGTCGATGTTGTCAGTAAACGTGATCTTTGAGCCGCATAGATAGTATAGGTCATTGCCAGCGGGCGAAGACGCACGGGATAGCAAATTTCAGACGTCAATCGCGTGGATTTTACTACGTGCAATTGCGGCTTCCTCCTTCCTGGTGACAGAAAGATGGTCGCGAGTAGAAACACGGGGCAGTTGCGCAGTTCTCCGGATCAGCGGGCAGTGGCGGAGGATTTGGTGGAGATCAGTATCTCGCCGTATAAAAGCAAAGACCTTGAGAAAGCGCCCTTTAGTGCGTCCCTTTCTAGCCATCCACAATGAAGCTGCTGGTATGTACCCATTCTTCTCCGAATTTATGAAAAAAATTTGGTGAAACGGGAAAGCTGAATAGTTCTTCGGTTTGATTTTTAAATACATATGAAACACAATTTCCTGTATGCACCTAGGTTCGGTATGAAAGTGAAACTTTTTTAGGCAGATACTGTGCAAAATACACCGTAGACATTGGTCGGACAGTTCAATACTCGAGGTTTGGGTCACGAAGCAGCAGACATAAATCGCTAAAGAAGTGTTCTCTATCTCATCAGCTCACCATGAAGGTATACTGCAGTGATCATCTGCGTGTGCCATTGTTTCCTCATTCAGCATGAAGTCAACAATCATGAATACATGATCTGCTGTCCTGAGTGTTTTTACAGTTTTATAGTTAGACACTTTTACTGAGGCACTAAAGGCGGCGTGGATTGTTGAAGCAGCTTTCCGGAAACCTGACTGTGCATATATGAAGCTTAGTTTTAAAACTCACGTTTCATTAGTCCCGATAATATTAGCGTTATACAAAGCGCTCACCTCCGAGAACGGCCTCGTAACCTAACATTCGCCAAGCTCTCGTTTTACTGCCCGACAGCAGGGCTGCGGCGCTGTGGAGCACAGCCTGGCGCAAACAGAACTTGCGCTGTTCTCAAGAGTTAAGGTAATTATATTTCTATGAATGAAACTGAAACAAACAAGTTGCATTTTATTCCGTCTTGCACTGCACTCACTGCAAGGTTCCTTTCCATCATGAGTAGTTAGAGTACTAGTAATTAGTTGTACTGGGAAAATTTTACACCATCGGACTCTTGTTCCATAGTGACCCACTGGTGGATAAATTGTGTCCTACACTTACATTATTGTTTCGGTGACCAAACTTCTGGGCACAGAAGTGACTTTCTATAGGTTTTCAAGTATGGACCTTTACCTCTGACATAATTTGTTATATACCTTTAGTGCTATTTTAAGGTGAAGGGACATGACTGGAATTGAACACCAAAGGTTCCGAGTAATTTACTTTCAAATTGCAAATAGGTTTCAATGCTTCATGCTGAAACTTTACCTGCTCAGCATAACGATTGGTGCTGAGTAGTTGAAACGTAGGAGCGTGCATGTGCATGACCTGTATATCTTACCATTGATTGTATTAGTGGAATGATTAAATGAATGAATAAAATAGGGGAATATTACTTGGGGCTTGAGACTTTTTGAAAACGAAATATAGTTAGGGCCATAAAGTAATTGAAGGTAACCATAACTAGATATTTTTTCTTACGTCACTCCAGCCGACAACTATGTAGCCGACAACATTGCAGGCCAAAACTCTTGGTATAAAGATAAATCAGAGATACGTTTTTTTAGGTATATAAGCAGGGTAGCTCTGCATTAAACAGAAACTAGTTTTTGTTTTGGGGAGGGATAGATATCAACGCTTGACTGCAGTTTCACCAACTCGTCCTCTTGAGCAATTGGTATACCGCAAGTTAACATGTAAAGAACATTCAAGTCATCTAGTTTCTCGCCTTCAACCACCACTCACCTACTCCAAAGTTTTCGTGGAAATAAATTTGGAACTTTTGCAGAAGATGTGGAAGATTCAGTAATTTCATCGGCTTCCACACAGTGCTCACATCAAACAATGACATCATTTTATAAGCAAGGAATGATCGTGCATTATGGCTTTTATTGTTTTCGGACTGGAATCACGGTGAACCTAGTTTGACCCGCCGTTATATTTAGCGGATTGCAGATCATTTCAGTATTCTGAGCAAAGAACAGCCGTTGTAGCAGCCCGACGAGCAAATCAGATGAAACAGGGCTTTCTACTCCCAACGCAAGAAAGTGGTTTGTGCGGCATTGAGAAAGCCATATAATCTAAAACACCTGAATTTTAGGGACCACATTTTGTACTTACCCTTTTATTTAGGCGAAATGGAAAATACAAATATAAAATGCACTGATTGAGGCTATAAATGTGTACACAACAAATGTTTTGCACAGAAGTTGACGCACTCAAATTTAATCATGTGTTTTTCGCCTTGCTTATGAAGCTATGCCACTATTATTTAA